CATACACCACACCTGACATGATTAACACAATCAGCCAAAGGTAATGGTCTGTTTCTTGATAGAAAGCAGTGGTATTTCTCTTCTATTCTGTACATCTATGGGTTACATGGACTGGGCAGACAGTGGCAGTCCAGTCGCACCAGTAGAAGAAGAAGCAATATGGCTGCACTTGGACTAGTTTACGTACATGCTCTTCTTCTGGCTCACTGTCAATGCAACAAATAATAAAAAAATGCAGCAGCGTCCCCATGGTCACAAAATGTGTCAGGTCACAGATTCTGGTGAAACACTGGAACCTTCTCATCTACATGAACAAATTATAAAGTGGTTTAAATGACTTGGTAACATTTGTTCTACCATAAATAAAGAGTAAAAATACATAAATATTACTTATCATGAAATAGTTGACCTGATTGTGAAGGACCTAGGCAGATCAGGTGTGCCACACCATGCTGTAAATACAGACCTGAGTGGGTGGGCTACAGGCTGAAAAACAACTCAGCGATGTCCTGATTCAGAGCCCAGTGCTTTCATACTGGGTGTCTGCTGATATAGTCCAGCGTGATACTCACAGATGTGGATGTCTGGTCATTTGGTGAGCCAGAGCTCACACCTCCTGCTGGAATGTGATCTACACCGGGTGTCTGTGTGTGTGTGTGTGTGTGATGTTAATTTGTATGTTAAACTGGCCAGGTGGTCATCTCAGGATGTTGGGCCCCCGGTCTCTGCAGGACATTCCAAGATAAAGCAGAACTTGTAATATGTTAAGTGGGTCTGTGTGTGAGTGCAAAACAAGCCAACTTGTCTTTGTTAAAATGTGAATTGGCTGTCTGGTCGCAGAGAGATGCAGACATCAAAGGCAGCTGGAGACGGTGTGCGAGTTGTTAGATGTGAGACAACAGTATGAGTTTTATAGATGTGTATTGTATCACTTTGGTATAAAGGGACTGTCCCTTTACCAGTCAGGCAGAGAACTCTGCGCGACTGCAAAGCTGTGTATGACTTCTCTCCATGCTGCATGAAATAAAGAATTCTTCGAAGCTACTCCCGGTCTCCAGACATCTTTATTGGGTCCTGCCCTGTTCCCACTACCACACAGATATATAACTATCTGATAGATAGAAGAGGTCTCACTCTGCTGTCAGAGCTACAGAAACACAGCTGAGCAGTGGATGTGCACAGATACCGATCTTTAGGGACAGCTTGTGGTTTTGCTAATCATTGCATAGACAGTTTAGCATAAATGCTGTTGAAATGACCTGAACATGAAAATAAGAAAAGGTCTTGACCGCTTACTCAATCAGATCCTTCAGTTCCTGCCCAGAGCAGTGTAATGCTGCTATAAAGCAGCAGAGTGAGCTGTGTGGGGAATGATGCTGCCGCCAGCTGCTGTGTACAAATGAACACTGTGGTCCACGGAGAGAGGAGAGCCTGCCGCTGACACGCTGCACCTAACAGAGACATAAATACTGCAGCGAGCCTTCCTCTCCTGCACAGGCTGCTCTGTCATTACGTGGCCTCTCTTCAGGAGCAGCAAAGCGCTGCCCCAAATTTGTGAAGCTGGTTTTCTTCTCCTGTCAGGCCTCAAGGAAATAAAAGCAGCTGTATGGAATCTTTCAGCCTGCTGTTGAAACCAGGGGACAAACCGCAGCACTGGGGATGTCGAGTTAAACTCGGACAAGACGACGATCCTGCCTGTAATTTAATAATGTAACTGATGTGATGTGTTCTGCTCATTACTGCTGACAGTAGCCCACAAATCACAGCACTACACAGTCAGAAAAAAACAGAGGAACTGATGCTGCTTTAATCAATGTCGCAAGGTTAAACCGAAGAAATGATGAAATTCACTATGTTAATGTTTTGAAATTTATGGGTCAGTAAGTAAAATGATGGCAGGAGTAATTAGAAAGAGTCGCATAATGAGATGATACCATTTCAGATTATTATCATTACTACGCTGAACTGAACAAAGAGATAAATGGTGAAATATAAACACTGTGCATGAGTTCAGTTCTTTGCTCATGACAGCGGTAATTTCTGGTCATTTCTGTACCCGCACAGATGTGGAGACATACTACTGGCTTTTTCTTAACTTAGGTCTCTGTTGTAATTGTTTCAATAATTGATGTTTTAGATTTATGTTGTGGAGCACCCAGAGCCAGTGCTGCTTTCTCCAGTCCTGCAGTGGTACAGGACTCACCATGGCCAGCAGAGAGGAGAAGAAAGCCATCTGCCAAAATGGCTCGGCAGCTGCGGCACAGAGGGAGACAACTTGTGGTGCAGCTAACACACCTTTGACACAACCAGAACCGGCAACAGTATCCAACATCTCAGACCCTTCCATCATCAACATCATGTGCCCAACTTTAAACTGGGCCTTAAAACGAGTTACCTTATGGAGACTTGCTTTTTGTCCCTAAATGGAAGTCCTCACAGTGTGACGGTGTAGACAGATTCATGTCCCCACTATATGAGAAATACAAGTACACACACATCCTTGTGGTTGTCACTTATAGGGTCCTAGCTGCAGCAGTGTGCTCCCAGTGCTCCAAGGCCACACACACACAGTCCATTACCAGGTGAGGCCTGTGTTACATCAGAGCAGCTCCCTGTGAGCTGCAGTCACCAGAATTAAGGTGGACCTGTGACGTTTGACTAACACCACTTTTATTGAAGTAGGAACAGGAACAAAAACAACTGGCTCTAAGTTTATACAAATGCAATACAAAATAAGAACAGTCTTAATGTATAAAACTGTGGCGGCTCCTCCTCAGCATCTCCACTCTGACAGCTCACTGGCCTCCTGAACTGCAGACTTCAGCTGAACATCACCTTGTTTCTGTTGAACCAGCTCTGAGAAGAAGCAGGACACAGTCTAATCCATTATTCCTCTTTTTCATTTCATGTGTAAATACAGGATGTAGCCTATGGCAGCGAGACACAAGAGTCTGTTCAGTGAACAACATATTTAAATAAATTTACACCCCTCCTCAAATCATCTTTTACACAACTCATCTCTTTTATTTGCTTCCTCCTCCATTAGTCCTCCATCTCCATCCATGATCTCTGCAGGCCTGGTCAGGTTATGCTGAATCCTGCAGTGGTTTCCTCCATTATTTTCTTCCACAAATGTCTGGCAGTAAGACGTAAACACGGCCTCGTGTCAAGTCACACCAACTCCAAAACTGTCATCTGTCAGAAGTGGATTTCAGGGACAGTGACGAGATTCTGTGTTTTTGCAGCCAAACAGAAAACAGATGAATGGATTTCATCTGTAGGAGAAATGAACCCTAGACTGTCTATTAGATGGATACCTAAAGTTCTCAGTACTGCAGCTGTGCACGTGCTCATTTACCATTATGGGTTTGGATGTGGGGAAGGAATCAGCTATTATTGGTGGGTGACAGTAACATTTGCCCTGTTTTGTTTGGTGTTGTACTATGATCTCACCAAGCAAGTTCCTAACAGTGTCTCCTGTAGTGGCATTACAGTTACTGCTGTGTTTTGGTTTCTGTGCACAATTCTGTCATTTGACAAAGCTGGAAATTTCAGAGTTGGTGTGCAAACCTCTTCAGTTTGTTTCACTGGTGGGACGAAGATGTTTTGCTCCAACAAACCTTGTGCGGTCAGACAAGCCCGGCCCTGTGTGGATGAAACTCAGTGACAGGTGGCATACACGGCATCCGGCTGCACCACGGCTGCTGTGGACAGTCCACTGCACTTCTAGTCTCCAGATCTGTTTCTGGTGCTCACATCTCTGCAGCCTGAACTTTACTTGCAGATATATATATGTCCCCTTTATTTACTGGAACTGGATGTACAGTCTATTTTTATTGATGCATTTGTTTTACTTTATCTTCACACACAAAACTAGTGTGAGAGAACAAACCAACTGAATTCACCATACAGCTGTTCTCATCTATCTGTTTTCCTCAACTGAGCACATGGCTTCAACACTCCACTGACTGGGCTTGCTGCAGAGAACATCCTGATGTCATGCTCATGGCGCTATCAGATAAAATAAAATCACGATAAATGACAACAGTGCATAGAGTGACATTCAGTGCATCCAAAAAGCACGTGTCAACGGCGCTGCTGTATATGTGCTGTAACCGGGACACGTGCTGGTGCCTTATGGCTCATGAGCTGCCTCCCTGTGTTGCTTTGTGCATGTATGTATGATCGCTGTGGTGGATTTAGTTCCTGATGCGTGATTCTCAGTGACGGGCTACTGGAGCTGATCCAGTTCAGCCTCTCTCCCTCATCAACACCGATGGTGATGTTTTTCATGAAATGACAATGAATCTTAAAACAAATGAGTCATGAAAGTATCAGCAGGACTAAATTCCTTAGTAGCCTTGCTAGTTTTTCTTGGACTGGCCGGATAACATCTGTCTCCTGAAGTGATTCTCTGTGCTTTTGTGACAGGTGTTTCACCTATATCAGCGGACGCCTGATCTGAATGAGCAAAACAACCTCTGGCTAAATTCTGGCTGTTGAAGAACAGAGATGTTTCACATGGACATCTAAACTGTGACGGTGCCGCAGTGCAGCCAGGTACCGTGTACAAAGGGAAAATGAATGCTCCCATTTTGACCATAAACAAAATGAAGTTTGCTGTAAATGTTTGCTCTATACCCAACATGTAAAGGTCATAAAGAATCAGCTG